TTTAGACCCGTTTAGATACTCACCTAGGTGCAAGTCACTTCTCTAGTGCCTTTTTACAAATTGAGAAAACCTTTACAAAAAATCATACTTAGCTTGTTTTCATTCTTCATTAGTGTTAAAAGTAGAATAGAAACCAAAACAAAGCATGATTGGAAGTGTAATCAAGAACATCGCACATAGCTAGGTTAGATAGAAACCCAATTCTAAACTAATATTAGCTCTCTGTGGAAATCGATCCCGTCCCCTCGGGTAAAATCTCCATCGATCACTCTTGCCATTCTATAGTGGTATAGGGTTGGAACCGATCAGTGCTCGGCCGCTTGGTGAATCGTGGGGGCATATTTCTGGCATTGCTCGCATTTTCTTACGAAGTCGGCAGCCTCCTTTTTCATCGTGGACCAGTAGTAGCCCGCTCGTATGAGGCATCTAAAGAGAGCTCGATTGCCGGTATGAGCTCCGTAGTGACCTTCGTGTACTTCTTCGAGGACGCGCCGCGTTTGATTAGGAGCACTCCGTCCTGCAAATATGAGATAATACGATTGCGCCAGTCCCAAGTCAAGTTTATAGTTCGTACCTCGATTTGATCTATTGATGAATGGAGGAGGGTGACCATGTCCCCTGCTCCGGCTATGCTTTTGGTGGCCGCTGCCAGTTTAGTGAGGTCATCCGCTTCGATGTTCTGTGCTTGGGGTATCTGATCGAGTTGGCATTCGTCGAACTCGGGTAATAGTTTGCAAATTTTGGCCTGGTATTTCTGTAGCTGTTGTTCCTTAATTTGGAAAGTCCCTGTAACTTGGTTGACGATGAGTTGCGAGTCGCATCGTAGGATAACTCACCGTGCTCCGTACTTGAGAGCCAACTTTAACCCTGCAATTAGGGCCTCATACTCGGCCTCATTGTTAGTCATATCAGGGCACCGTATGGACTGGCGAACTATTTCGCCTATTGGGACCTCGAGCACGAGTCCCAGTCCGGATCCTGATGCATTAGACGCGCCATCGGTGTACAAAACCCATTGGTCGTGCATTTTGGCAGAAGTACTGGCGGTTTCCCTTTCGACTTCGGGCATTATCTTCGCACTAAAGTGGGCAAGAACTTGCAACTTTATCATCGTTCGCGTCTGATGGGTTATATCATGCTCGCTCAACTCTATGGCCCACTTGGACAATCTGCGAACAGTTCGGGTTTGTGCAGGATACTCCTTAGAGAAAAAGTCGTGATCACAGAGATGAGGTGGCACTGGAAATAAGGTCTAAGCTTTCGTGAAGCTACGACCAAGGCCAGAGCTAGCTTCTCGAGGTGGGAGGACCTCGTTTCAGTGTCGACAAAAGTTTTACTAATGTAGTAGATTGGAGACTACATACCTTTATTTTCTCGTACCAGAACTGCACTTACTGCGACATCGGACACGGCCAGCTAGACAAGAAGACACTCTCCATGTTCTGCCTTAACAAGCAATGATGGCGAAGATAGGTAGGTCTTTAGTTCTTTTAAGGCGTCAATGCATTCGGAATTCTATTGGAGTCCGTTATCCTTTTTGAGTACGCCGAAAAATTTGTGGCACCTATCGGAGGACCACGAGATGAACCTCGACAGGGCGGCTATCCGGCCGGTCAGCTTTTGCACTTGTTTCTTGCTGGTTAAATTTTCTGGGATTCCTTCTATGGCCTTGATCTGGTCGGGGTTGACCTCGATGCCTCGTTGCGATACCAAGAAGTCGAGGAACTTTCCAGAGGTTACACCGAAGGCGCATTTTTCGGGGTTCAATTTCATGTTGTACCGTCTAAGTATGTCGAAGGCTTCCCTCAAGTGGTCGATATGGTCTTCCTTCCTTTTTGACTTGACGAACATGTCATCTATATATACTTCCATGGTCTTGCCGAGTTGATCTTTGAACATTTTGGTCACTGGCCTCTGATATGTTTCCCCTACGTTTTTCAACTCGAATTGCATCACCCTGTAACAGTATGTCCCCTGGTGGGTGATGAAAGTAGTTTTTTCTTGGTCCTCCTCCTCCATGAGGATTTGGTTGTAGCCCGAGTAGGCGTCCAAGAAGCTCAGCAGTTCGTGCCCGGCTTTAGCGTTGATGAGTTGGTCGATATGGGGCAGCGAGAACGAGTCTTTTGGGCAGGCTTTGTTCAGATCTGTGAAGTTTACGCACATCCGCCACTTCCCGTTCTTCTTTTTCACCATGACCACATTGGCGACCCGTTGAGGGTACTTCTATTCCCTGATAGAACCATTCACTAATAAATTTTCGACCTCTTTGCGAACCGCGTCATTTATTGCAGAGTTGAACTTTCATCTAATTTGCCTCACTAGGGAGTAAAACGGGTCGACGTTCAACATGTGAGTTGCTATCTCCTTCGGGATACCTAGCATGTCTGCATGGGAAAAAGCAAACAGGTCTACGTTACTTTTTAAGAATTGGCGGAATTTACCTGGATCTTGGAGCTTGTGGCCGATGAAAGCTTTTTTGCTATGGTCGTCATCGTCTAGTTGGATGGGGTCGAGGTCCTCTACAATTGACCCTGTGGCTTCTACGATTTCGGGGTCTCTGATGACGTCTTTCCTCTCATTGCCATCTGAACCCGACTTTGTTAATTGCCATGCCTCCTCGGCCTTTCCTTTTAATCGTTGGGTGTATGTGCTGTCTTGGACGATGCGGTAGCATTCTTGGGCCGTGCGTTACTCTCCTCGAATGCAGAATACTTCCTAGGGGTGGAAAATTTAATGACTTGGTATAAGCTGGAGGGGGCGACTTTCATGGCATGTATCCAAGGTCGGCCTATGATGGCATTGTATGCCGTATCCTATTTTCAGTCAATCAAGAACTATGCATCTAATGAAAATCTTTACTTCTTGATGTCCTTAAACTTCCACGTCAAATTTTAAATCAACCCTTTTCTAATTCTTTGAGTTAAATTAGCATTCCATCTTTATTTATTGTATTCTTTTCTTGATTAGCACTTTTACTTTGTTTTATTGGATTCTGCAATAAGTTACTAGTACTTAAGAATTTTTTTACAAATTGAACAAATTTTTTTTTTTTTCATTTTGGTAAGTCGATATTGAAGTTTTTAATCAATAGAAGAATGTCTTGAGGAAATTTTTCATATACAACTGCAAAGCTTTGCAATCATCTCGTAGACTACAAGCTGAAAAATGGGTTAACTGGTTATTATTTTGCTGCAAAATTGTTTCAGAACAACCCCTTATGGTATTTGTTCCAGTTATAAGGGGAGTGTATTTAATTTGTGTTTGATGTGTTCACCAGTGTCATGTTGTTTGTCACCTGAATCGAATCATACCCTTTTACATAGACAGTCTCAAAGTGGGCATGAAATGGCAGATTACATCGAAAGGGCTGAACTTTATTGTTCCGTGTGCTGTGATCAGGTGAATGCAACTTTTCATGGAGCTCATTCTTAGCTGCTTTAAATTTATGACACATTATAAGCTCTTACAGAAATACCCAATAAGAAGGGAAAATTAGACCTAAATGTTGCTGGCTATCAGCCAATTACATGTTTAGGAAGAGATAAAAAATAAAAAACACTTGCAGTCTCATAATTGCAATTTTAAAACAAAAATCCACCAAAAAGAATTCCATCTTCATTTTTTTCTTACCTCTTTTCCTGTTCAGAAGTACTCTTAATTTTATAAAAAAAAAAAAAAAAAAAAAAAAAAAAAAAAAATTGGGAAAAGCTCTCAGCCAATTGAGGTGATAGGTTTTTGTGGTCCTACTAACTCACAATGGAATACAAAGTTCCCAAACCAAGAGTCAACAAAGTAGAAATTTGCCTTCATAAAACTTCTACAGTACCATGTTTGAGTTTGAATATGTTCTACACAATTTACATAAACTATCCCACTGAGAATTCAAAACAAAATCCCCGAGTAGAGATTTTTGTCTGCTTTTTTTACTTTTCACCTCCATTTGACTAGCTCACATTTCAAAAGTATAAGTCAAAGTACCAAAGCCACATTTATGCTAAGCTGGGGATAAAAAGTGTGAAAAATGAAAGACAGGAGACTAGTAAAGTAAAAACTAGTACTCTATTTTAACTGGACTAGAATGTAGGGCAGCATTAATTTGGGGTTTAATAACACATCTTTAAGAATAGTATATAACTCGCAGCTCACCACTGACGAGTAACCAGTGATCCACCCACCTTTATTGTAAATTTGTAATTATTGTTGTGCAAAAGTTAATTTGAGTTAATTGCAGGTTTATTATATTAGCCTTTATTACAATTTATGTCCCATTATATGCATTAACAATTACAGCTATAAAGGGGTTACTGTGCATTCTTGTGCTAAAAAAACAACAACTACTACCTAGCATTTTCTTTTATTTGTTTTCCTTTTATCAACAACTCACTTCACTTTTCAATATAATGATGCTGTCAATTCATACTTTGGACAACTTTTAATTATTTGGACTATATTGGATCAAGTTTGAATATTTTGCCACAAGGATTTAGTTTTCTAGCATTATAGGTTAAAGAGTAGAAACTACTTATGTCCAAACTTCATATATCAATTTCACTCTTGAATCTTCACATTTGGCTGGGGAAAGTTATTTGAATTTTTTCCTAAAACTAAAATCATTACTTCTTTTCATCCTTTCTTTAGCCGAGGTTTATCGGAAATAATCTTTCTGTCCGTCTAAAGTGGGAGAAAGGTTGGGTACCTCTTACTCTCCCCAGACTTTACTTGTGAGAATTCACTAGACTTGTTGTTGTCCTAAAAGCGGGCTCTTTCAGCTTTTGGGAACACTTGCGCAAACCTCAAGCCAAATCTAGAGCATGTGGATTTAGTAGGTAACAAAAAAGAAACAACATAATTTAATATGTCAAGATGAGCATCACACATGAAAGTAGCAGTACGACTAAGGACTTTCTTCTTATTTTTAATAATTTAAATATTTTTTGCTTTAGAGAAAATAAGTTAGCAACAGGGCCTAATAATTCACCCCATAAAAGGTTAAAAAGTGCCAACCCATATTAACCACAGTAGTAACCTTAGGCCCCTTCTTTTCAAAAGTGTTCTTCCACCTCCTCCTTAAACTTTATACACTCTCACTCTCTGTGTATCACTGTGTGTCTGTGTGTAAGGGAGGGGCCTCTGCCTCTGCAACAGCATATGGCCATTACCAGTCTGAAACTTTCCCCTTTTATCATTATCATACGCTCCTTTTAACCTTCACTAAATCCACTACATTTCCCTACTGATACTCTTTACTTTCTTCTTTCATGGCTGCTTTTTTACTTCTCTTTCTTGTTTTTCTTTCCACATTATGCTCCGCTCAACGAAACCCACAAACCATTTTAGAAATTCAAGCCCTCACTTCTTTCAAACTCAGTATTCACGACCCACTCGGTGCACTTACTGACTGGGATTCTTCTTCCCCTTCTGCTCCCTGTGATTGGCGCGGCATTTTTTGCGTGAATGCTCGAGTCAGTGAACTCCGCCTCCCTCATTTGCAACTCAGTGGGCCGCTCACTCCCCAAATCGCTAACCTGCGCATGCTGCGTAAGTTAAGCCTCCGTTCCAACTCCTTTAACGGAACTATCCCTGCTTCGTTATCCAAATGTACCCTTTTGCATTCTGTTTTCTTACAGAGCAATGCGTTTTCGGGTAAACTCCCGCCGGAAATGTTCAACCTCACCGATTTACAAATCCTTAATGTCGCCGGAAATCAACTCTCCGGCGAAATCCCCGGTGAGCTTCCCCGGAGCTTACGGTACTTTGATCTTTCGTCGAATTTGTTCTCAGGTGACATTCCGAGGGACTTGTCTGACGCGTCACAGTTACTTTTGATCAACCTTTCATACAATCAATTTTCCGGCGAAATTCCGGCGAGTCTCGGCCGGCTTCAGCAGCTTCAGTATCTTTGGCTTGCGTACAACAACTTGCAAGGAACTTTACCTTCCGCAATTGCGAACTGTTCATCGTTGGTTCACTTGAGTGCTGAGGGAAATGCTATTACAGGTGTTATTCCTGCGGCTATTGCTGCTTTACCGAAGCTTCAGGTGATAAATTTATCACACAATAATCTTTCTGGTTCCTTGCCAGCTTCATTGTTCTGTAATGTTTCAATTTATGCTCCTTCCCTTAGGATTGTTCAGTTGGGTTTTAATGAGTTTACTAATATTGTTAAGAAAGTGGAGTCTAATTGTTTTAGTTCCTTGCAAATTTTGGATCTTCAACATAATCAAATGAAAGGTGAATTTCCTTTGATTTTGATGAACAATTCGGGGTTAACGTCCCTGGATTTGTCGTGGAATTTGTTCTCTGGTGAAGTCCCTAGTGCTATTGGGAATTTGGGGAGATTGGAGGAACTAAGAATGGGGAATAATTTATTCAGGGGTGCACTTCCGTTTGAGATTACGAAATGCAGTTACTTGAAGGTTCTTGATCTTGAAGGCAATCAAATGACGGGGGAAGTTCCTATGTTTTTAGGTGAACTTAGAAGCTTGAAGATTTTATCACTGGGAGGGAATCAGTTTTCGGGTTCCATTCCTTCTAGTTTTGGAAATTTGACTATTCTTGAAAATCTGAACTTAGGAAGAAATGTTCTCAATGGAAGCTTGCCTGAGGTGCTAATGGATTTAAGCAATTTAAGCATATTGAATCTCAGTGGAAACAACTTTTCTGGAAGTATGCCAGTTGGTATCGGGAATCTTCAGCAGCTATCGGTTCTGAATCTGAGTAAAAATGGCTTTTCAGGCAACATTCCTACTAGCATTGGGTCTTTGTATAAGTTAGCAGTTGTTGATTTGAGTGGACAGAATTTGTCAGGGGAAATACCGTTTGATCTTGCTGGTTTGCCTAATCTACAGGTTATAGCTTTGCAAGAAAACAAGTTGTCTGGTAATATTCCTGAAGGTTTCAGTAGCTTATTGGGTATGCAATATTTGAATCTTTCTTCAAATTCCTTTTCTGGCCATATACCATCTACATTTGGGTTCTTGACCTCATTAGTTGTGCTTTCTTTGTCTAACAACCACATAAATGGTTCAATTCCTCCTGAATTGGGCAACTGCTCTGCTCTGGAGAATTTAAATCTGCACTCAAATTCATTGAGTGGCCAAATACCTGCTGATCTCGGACGTCTCTCCCACTTAAGTGTGCTGGATTTGGGTAGAAACAACTTGACAGGCGAAGTCCCAATAGATATTTCCAATTGTTCATCCCTGACATCGCTCTTGCTAGACTCTAACCATCTTTCGGGGAACATACCAGAGTCACTGTCCAGGTTATCAAACTTAACTACCCTTGACCTCTCTGCTAACAACTTCACTGGAGAAATCCCAGCTAATCTTACCACGCTCTCGAGTTTGATGAGTTTCAATGTGTCACACAATCACTTGGTAGGCCAAATTCCAGTGATGTTGGGCTCCCATTTTAATGATTCAGCGAACTATGCTGGCAACCAAGGTTTGTGCGGGGAGCCATTGGATAGAAGATGTGAGACATCTGGTAATGGTGGGAATAAGTTGATTATGTTTATTGCAGTGGCTGCCAGTGGAGCTCTTCTCCTTTTATCATGCTGCTGCTTCTACACTTACAACCTCTTGAGGTGGCGCAGGAAGCTCAAAGAGAAGGCAGCTGGAGAAAAGAAGCATAGTCCTGCAAGGGCTAGTTCAAGGACGAGTGGTGGTCGTGGCAGTGGCGAGAATGGTGGACCCAAACTTGTTATGTTCAATAACAAAATCACACTTGCTGAAACAATTGAAGCAACTAGAGAATTTGACGAGGAACATGTCCTGAGCAGAACTCGTTATGGAGTGGTCTACAAGGCCTGTTACAATGATGGAATGGTGCTCTCAATTTGTCGACTCCCAGATGCATCACTTGATGAGAACATGTTCAGAAAAGAGGCGGAGTCACTTGGCAGGGTGAAACACAGGAACCTAACAGTTCTTCGTGGGTATTATGCTGGCCCCCCGGACCTCAGACTACTTGTCTATGATTACATGCCTAACGGGAACCTTGCAACATTGCTCCAAGAAGCGTCCCACCAAGATGGTCATGTCCTCAACTGGCCAATGCGCCACCTCATTGCACTTGGCATTGCTCGGGGCCTGGCTTTCCTTCACTCATCCTCAATGGTTCACGGAGATGTGAAGCCGCAGAATGTCCTATTTGACGCAGACTTTGAAGCCCATCTTTCAGACTTTGGCCTAGGCAAGCTTGTAGTATCCACACCAGCTGAGCCCTCCACATCAACTTCAGTTGGTACGCTAGGCTACATATCCCCAGAAGCAGCATTAACTGGAGAAACCACAAGAGAATCAGATGCTTATAGCTTTGGCATTGTGTTGCTGGAATTACTAACAGGAAAAAGGCCATTAATGTTCACACAAGATGAGGACATAGTGAAATGGGTGAAGAGGCAATTGCAGAGAGGGCAAATTTCAGAACTACTAGAGCCAGGATTGCTTGAGCTGGACCCTGAATCATCAGAATGGGAAGAGTTCTTGTTAGGAATTAAAGTAGGCTTGCTTTGCACTGCACCCGACCCCCTTGATCGACCTGGCATGGCCGACATTGTGTTCATGCTTGAAGGTTGCCGTGTTGGCCCTGATATCGCGTCTTCAGCCGATCCCACTTGCCAACCTTCACCCGCCTGAATTCCCTCAACCCGCATGTTGTAACCCGTGAACCCGAGGTTCATTCTAATTCTTTTCCCTTTTTTATTAGCCTTATTAGTTTTGAGAGTAAATTTGCAAGGCCATGTAATAGTAGCTAGCACTAGCAGTTCAAATTTCATGCCATTTTTTCAAAAACATACTTTAATTAAAAAAAATATGAAAACAAGTATTTCTCTTGATTGCCATTTTTCTCGATTCTTGTTGTATTCCTCCTATTTAAAACACACCCACCGTGCCGGCCGGAATTTCTCTCCTTTGGCGTGGGGACCAAAATGTAGTGTAATAAGTCAAAGTTAAAAAAGAAAAAAAAGGAAAATAGAAACATGTTGGAACTGTGTTTGTGAGTCAATGATTTGGACAGTTGTGCAAATAAAGAATAGGATAATGGGGGTAGGGGCCCAGCTTTAGCTCCCGCCAAAAAACGAACAAAAAGCCAGGAAATACCAGTCTGGTTCTATCACGTGGCTATCAAGTACTTAAAAGGTATCTCTTGGGGTACTGAAAATGTAGCCGTTAAATGTATTATAAGATATTACTAGTATACGTAGAGAAAGGCATTATATTAAAAATACAGACCTACTTCCAAGAATGCTTTAAGTTGCGTGTATTCACATTTCTTTATTCAGTGGCATCAATGGAGTTTGAATACAATAGTTACTTGTTCTGTGTACTTGTTTTCTGTGGAGTAACAAGTAATGAAAATGAAAGGGAGGAAAGTGACAAATGAGATTAAGGTCAAGGAATCTAAGATTTTGTGGTTTTTTTTTTTTTTTTTTTTGAGGGAGGTTAATGTAATGGACCCTTTTGAACAAGACCAGGGTGAGAGAGACTAAAGGAAGAAAATGATTGAGATTTGTGGGGTGTTTTTTGGACCATTTGTTTTTTTGTCTTTTCCATTCTTTTTTTTCTTTTCTGTTTTCACAATACATAAGCAGCATAATGAGTATGATTTATCATGTTCATTTGATAACAAGTGAACAATTTCTTCCTTATTCGCTTTTATGATTTATAGGATATGGAAGTTTGGTAAATATTGAGATCATGCTAGACGTGGAGAAGGCCAGCAACATGAAATGATTCCCCATAATAAAGTATAGTAGCATGCTTGTGGTCACACGAGGTCAAGATCTGAGTTAAATCATATTTTTATAAGATAATCAGCTGCAGTGACCGTTAAAGGCTTCATCTATTTGTTATTATTGTATATATTATATTTCTTAGACAGCGGAGAGCCACAGCATTATCTTTTTCAATATTTGGAGTGCTACGCATTGCAATAATTTTGTAGCCACTCAATAATTCATGTTTCGAGTAGATAGACTCAAATTTGTCGACGACTGTGTAATTTAACTAATAATAACTAAGGATGTGGCCGTGCATTCAATGGATTGGGCGAAAACCATGGGATACAAGACAAAAAAATTACTTAATCTTTTATGCCTAAATCTTGATGGTCAGAGTTACTCGGATATTCAGTTATACTGGTGGAAAGTGATAGATACCTAATGAATTAATCGTGGTGCACGACAGTTGAGTTGGTGACTACCGTTGCAATAAAGTAAAATTTAACTAATATTGCTGCTTTGGATGATTCACTTGTGAGAAACTACTGAATTTTTTGTTGTTGTTGCTGTTTTGGATAAAATGCTAATCACAGCAGCTAATGAAAATAACTTACCAAAATGTTGATGAGCAGCTTCTAAAAGTTGAACCAAATTAGTCCTCTGATAGGAAAATGTCGGTAATGCCTGTGGAAAAATATTGAAACGTCAAAAGAAGATGAGGACACATTCTGGGGTTTGTTTCACTTTTTGTTTGCTTATAATCATGCAGTTTGTTAGCGTACACTGTATACTAACCATTTGAAATTATCGGTGGTAACGATAAATTGTCTTAGCTATTCATTTCAAATGTAAAGTGTAAAGTTCAAACATATGGTAGAGAAAAAATAACAGCCGCAAACGTAAAAATTGCGGGCATCCTATTTGGTCGCCCCCATTTAACCTATATCTATTTTTAAAAAATATTTAACTTGTACCCACTATTTAAACAAATTCAGCCCTTTTTCTGCTCCTCCTTCTCCTCCTTCGTTTTCTTCTTCTTCTTTCTTCTGCTGCTGTTGGTGCTGCTATAAACTTCAGTTCATGGGATGACTGCCATAAGTATGTTTATTAGATTATTTAAAAATAAACTACAAATAATTACGTAAGTTAGTAGACAATAATTTATGAATATTTCCACGTACGGGAAGTTTAAGGTCACACTTAGTGATTCTTTTCATGATAATTATGTTCTTTTCACGTTTATTTGTTTCCAAAATTTTATGATTTAGATACTATTGGCAATCTGATTATTTTATAGTAGTCTGATTATAACAAAACTAATGAATCCAGGACAAAAAAACTTCAGCTTATTTAGTGCTGAAGTTTTTACAAATGAACTGAATAACTTCAGCATCTTCTGCTGAAGTTTTTGAAAAAGCTTATCCAGGACAAAAAAGCTTCAGCTTATTTAGTGCTGAAGTTTTTATAAATGAACTAAATAACTTCAGCATCTTCTGCTAAAGTTTTTGAAAAAGCTTAATGACAAAACTAAGCTGAAGTTTTTATAAATGACCTAAATAACTTCAGCATCTTCTGCTGAAGTTTTTGAAAAAGCTTAATGACAAAACTAATGAATGCAGGACAAAAAAACTTCAGCTTATTTAGTGCAATTACAAACAAAAACTTCAGCAAATAGAGAACAAAACTTCAGCTACTATGCTTAAGTTCAGCAATTACAAATAAAAACTTCAACAAATAGAGAACAAAACTTCAGCTACTATGCTTAAGTTCAGCAATTACAAACAAAAACTTCAGCACACTTGCTACTTCAGGCCCGTCTACTAGAATGCTGAAGTTTTGCGTGATTGTCTTTGCTACTTCAGCCCCGTATGCTAAAGTTACGCAAAAAAGTGGATACGCTTGCAATTCTTTTTGCAAAGCGGGCACAAGTTAAAACGTGACCCAAAAAAGCGGGTATACATGCAAATGCTAGTTTGAATATTGTGTTATCCAAAAATGCTAAATCAAAATAATTGGTTAGGAAGGGCCCATAAACAGAGCCCAGATATCTGCAGCCCTGCACCCGTGACTTCGCAAAACACAAGTAAAAATGGCGTGGGGTAGCCACTATTTAAGGTGGTAGTTATTTTTTATCCAGCGATTCTAATGTTGAGCAAAAATAGACACTACTCTATTAAAATTAATATGAAAAGACATTTTTACCCTTTCTTCCATTGCTTTTCTTCCCAAACCCTCGCTTCTATCTCTGCATCGAACTTGAGAAAGATCCCCTGACAACATTAGCTACGCTTCCCAATCTACGGGTTCTCGTCGTCAACAATAATGCTTTTGTCGGGGCGGATATGATCACTCCTTTAGGTTTCCTTGAACTCAAACGTTTAGAGCTCTTGAATTTGCAGTTTTTGGAAAAGTGGATGGTGGCAAACGATTCTATGCCAAAGCTCTGCAACACAAAAGTTGGAAATTGCATGAAACTGTCAAAGCTTGATAGTTTCGAATTCCTTACTGCTCTTAAAGAGTTGGAGATTAATGGAGACATGTCTAAACCATTTGAAGACGGGTTGCGCTACTGTAGTCCTGAACTTAGAGTTCCAAATTCAGTCCTGAACTTAGAGTTACAAGTTCAAAAGTTAAGGACAGGTAGTCCTAAACTTATATTTACAAGCTCAAAAACTAAGGACAGGTAGTCCTTAACTTAGACTTACAAGCTCATAAATTAAGGACAGCTAGTCCTGAACTTACAGTAACAAGCTCATAATTTAAGGACACTTGGTCCTGAACTTAGAGTTGGAAGTTTAAAAATTAAGGACAATTGGTCCTTAACTTAGAGTTACAAGCAAAGAAATTAAGGACAGGTAGTCCTTAACTTAGAGTTACGAGTTACAAGCACAGAAAATAAGGACATGTAGTCCTGAACTTCACGTTCCAAGCACAGAAGTTAACGACATGTAGTCCTGAACTTAGAGTTACAAGTTCAAAAGTTAAGGACAGGTAATCCTAAACTTAGACTTACAAGCTCATAAATTTAGGACAGCTAGTCCTGAACTTACAGTAACAAGCTCATAAGTTAAGGACACGTGGTCCTGAACTTTATGAGCAGAAGGGTATTTTCGTTTGGGCCGGTAAAAGTTTATTAAAGCAATGGCTAAAGACTAAGACATTTTAAACAGTGGCTTAAAAGTAAATACATGTCTTATTAGTGGCTAACTGTGCACTTTTCCCTAAAATACAGCCGCAAAGTCTTTCAATTTGATTTCCTATGGCAAGGACTACCACATGGGTAATGATACAGCTTTTTGACATTGTTGGGAACCTAATGGAAATCTAAGCAATGTTGTATTCTCTAAAATGCTTTCAAATTTTTTACACACTCTCTTGAGGTGGTTTTTGGTAACAAAACTGTAATGTAATCTAGAAATGCACAAATATTTTCTCTGTGTTAGTTTTAATTTTTTTTTTAACCTACTAAATACAGATATTTAAGTCTTTCATGCCACTCAGCTTCTCTAAATTGTATCTCAGTGTAAACAATGATGACGAACAAAGATAAACACATGAAAAATGAAGGAAAAGAAAAAGGTCATCTGGTTTCTTTTAATTTATTTTTGGGCAAACTTTTTCAGCTTTTTCTTTAATCTTTTCAGATGTACAAAACTTATTAAAATGAGTTGAACAGAAGATGCTACTATTAGATTCATGATCCCATAAAATATGTGAATATAGATTATAGATATCTTGAATATAGATTACAGATATCTCACTAGAGCATAATATCTTCACAAGGCGAAGTTATGTCGACCTATACTAGTTTAAATTATACTAACTTTTTTTGGATATAGCTTGAAACAAAAGAAATATATAAATACGTAACGCATTTCTTCTAATATCAGGCTTGGGTTAAAGCCTGTGGATTGCTCTCGGACAAGGAATTGATAGAAATCACAGTCCTCTTTTCCTTTTAAGCTCCAGCACATTAAAGTCACTGTTTGACACAAGTACATATTTAGTATCTTTTGGTGTACTGATTGCATAACACCTCAACATATAGCAGTACCAAAATCAAATACTTATTACTTACCTAAATTATAAATGTCACACCTCCTTTTTTTACACACCTACCCCGAAGGATAAATGTATAAGGGAGTTTTTCCATTTAAAGTGACATTATTCGAAATGGGATTATTTATTTATTCTTTCAGAGTCGCCACTTGGGATAGGATTGGCTTTTGGTGTCCCAAGTCACCGATTTAATTTAAATCCCAAATCGAGGAAAATTTCGACTTCCAAATTGGAGTCTGCGAACCAGAAATTCTGAATAAGGAATTCTGTTGACCCGAGGGAAGGTGTTAGGCACCCCCGGATCCCGTGGTTCTAGCACGGTCGCTTAAATTATTATAATTGGCTAAAAATCTAATTTTGATACATGTGTTAACTTATGTGCTTTTTAACTTTGAACCACTTTTATTATTTACTTTTTAAGAGTATTGCAACGTCGTGAAAATGTATCTCAAACCACGTCGCACCAATACGCCCGTGATTTTTGGCACATTTCAACTTCGTTGAGATTTGGATTTTGGTCACATAAATGTGCACCCGTATTTAAGAAGGTAATATTATTAAATGTCGGGCCTAAAGCAGCTAACGCATTATTAACTTCGTGGGAGGCCATGAAATTCACTAAATGGCGCGTCTCGAGTTCTAAGGATTTTAATAAAGCATTTAATGAGGCCCCGCAATATTAAACGTTATGGGTTTTGTTTGGCGAGGCTCGTCTCATTTTTATTAAAGGTCAACCTAAAGCAACTATAATTTTCTATTGAATTTGTCTCAAAAAGCTGGTTAATTCACATTTATAAATCCGGGCCTCGAATTCAAGTCCGAATTCAAACAAAAGGGAAGACCCTTTTAGCTTGAACACGCTACCTAATTCGAAATCCAATTTTATATTTGTGAGTTAATTCCCGATATCCTAATGTAGTTTTAAAGACTTTTAGACTTAACAATTTGGGCTTTGAACATTAGCCCAGAGAAATGACATGCAGCTTCGGTTTTGTTGGCGCTGCTCATTCAGAGTTTGGGCCACGATCGCAAGCCAATTTTGGGCCTCTAATTATCAATTTAAGGCCACATTAAACTTAATCTAAAGGGCTTCGAATTTCTGTTAAATCAACTGTTGAGGTTTGGCCCAAAGATAAAAGCCCAAATTAGAAGCTGATTTTAGATTGGATTGTGTAATACTGATTCTGAATCAAAATCAAATTCAACAGTTTACACACCAACAGCTATGTCAAACCTGTTCTACTAAAATCTACTTTGTTTGATTCAAACGTTCAAACCAGTCCAGATGAACTTTAATGGCAAAACTAAAATACTCAACATCAGATTCAGGGATTCTACTATATACTGGAGTGTTACTTTCCCATTACAAATCAACATGCTGAAACTTGAGTTTAAACCTAGCATTCAAAGTAATAGGCTCATCTATTTCACATGATTTATGATCACACCGGCTCATATTGTATCTGCTTTTGAATTACACAGGGGAATTTAAGACATCAAACTTAACTAAACTGAATCTATTATGTCTAAACACAATACTTATACAATCATGAAAGGGAATCAAATCAGTTTAGTAGTCCTATATGAGCCAAAACAGTCCAGTTTAGTTACAAACCATAATCTACTGAAATTTATGAAATTACATGAAACACAATACGAAAATCAATACAGAACCATGTTGCACTTCATTTCATTTCCGCAAATTTGGAAGTTACACGATGTGTACCTGGGAATTAAGACAAAGTGAAGAAGAAGATAGAATCAGCAGCAGCAATGAACAATCAGCAGTGTTAAACAGCAGCAGCAAGGATGATTTTGAATCAAAATTTCTTCAATAATAACCCAGCATCATAGCACAGCAACACATCACTCAATTTGATCCAAAATTGACTCAATTGAACTCAAAAACCCACTTGAAATCAACTCTAATGAACCTTTGAAACTTCAGCTGACAGAAACTAAGCTAGAAGATGTATTCACTCCTAAAAATGGAAATTAAGCTAAGGTCTTTAATGAAACAGTAATTTTTGGGTTTTTCTACTGGATTTTCTATTGTTTTTGGATTTTTTGAAGGTTTAAATTTCAAAATCAGATCTGAAATTAGAGAAGGGACTTTTGGGGAGAATTTTTGGAGGCTGAAAACTTCTTATGCAAGGCAAATGAATGCCTATTTATAGGCAAACTTAGGGTATAATTTCAGGTTTTTATTTTTACTCTTTAGTCCCTATTTTAATTCTATTTTTACTCCTTATTTCCTGACTTGTTACACAAGTAACTACACCTATTTTATTGAAATCTATACTAAAGCTCATTCTAGAAGGCTCTATACCCATTACAATTCCTATTCTATCCTTACTTCATTTCAACAATTACCAAATCTGATTAAACTACCCTTTTTCAATGCCCAAACTACCCTTTAACTATACTGTAATTACTACTAGCCTATTTCATATGCCCAAAATACCCCTGAATTACTAACACTAGCTAAAATCTACCAGTTATAACCAAATTAACCCAAAGTGAACTTAATGACTAATTGACTAAATGCTAAACTAAAAGGGATACTACGCTAATAACAATCATGAAGGAATATTGAAAACAAAAGAGTAAACCATTATCTAAAATTTAAATGAAGCAGAAACTAACAATTCAAGACAGAAAAAGAATTGAATAAATCCTATTTTGATAAAAGCAGACTAAAAATCAGAAATCCAAATGAACTAACATCAGGAAGAAAAACAAGCCCAAAATCAGAACACGAAAACAGAACAAAATTGACCAAAATTAGAAACGAAAATTGACCAGAAATTAACAATTATGAGCACATAAACAAAAAAAGAAAATTAAACACAGAAGAAGGAAGAGAACTTACTGATGTGGGTTGACCTCAAAATTGACAAGTTTTCTTGGCATTCTTGGACCACAACTGCCTTTAATCATGTGTTTTCAGAAAACACATGATTAAGGGCTATTATAGCCCAAAACTCGGAAGAAATCCCAATAGTATAAACTTAGGGTTTCTGGCCATTTTTTGATTTGAAATTCGAGGGATTTGGTGGTGATTTGCAGGAAAATAGTTAGGTATTTGGAAAGAGGGGGTGAGGGGAGTGTAGGGTAAGAATTTGGGGCTGTTTGGACAAGGTGAGGTATTGGCCGGAGAGTTTAGATTCAATATTCGAGACGTTTGGCCGGGATTTGAGGGAAATTGTGTTGAGGGTTGAAAAGAGGAGAGTGAGGTAGTTCTATGGTGTATTTTTGGACGGAAAAGGAGCATCGCCGCCGCCGGCGGCGATTTCCGGCCGGCGGCGCTAGGGCAAAGGGCGGCGGAGACGGTGGTGATAAAATCTGGTCTGAGACGATGATGAGAGAGGGGGGGGGTAGGGGGTCCGACAATTTTATATGAATGTTTGCCCAGTTCCTGGCCGTAGGATCAAGAATCCTCGACGGCCAAGATCAATTACCCCTTAAAACGGCGTCGTTTTATTACAATAGGGCTGGACCGGGTAATTTGGGTTGGGCTTGGACCAATTTAGCCGGATTTGGGGGGTTTTGATTTGGGCTAGGCCAATTTTGGCCCAATTTTGGTTTTCTTATCAAGCCCCACTTTATTTTATTTTAAAATGTCTTTTTTTTTTCATTTTTTTGTTTTGCTTTCATTTTTGAATTTTATATTTTTCTGATTTTATAAAATGCTAAAACAAAACAAAGACCAAATTAAACTATTTAACTCCTAAAATTATTTAAAATTTTATTTAAAGATAAATGCAACAATTAACAATTGAAAGTGCAAAGAAACTATTTTTTTTACAATTTTCTTTAAATTTGTTCTAAAACTAATTAATACCTAATTAATACTAAAATTGTGAAATTAAATCCCTAAATGCAAGTGCATATTTTCGTATTTTCATATGAATAAAAATGCAACCAATTAACACAAAAATTTAACAAAAATTATAAAGAAATCAATTATTCGAAACTTTTGGAAATAATTTGCTTAGGGCAAAAATCACGTGCTCACAATAAAGTGTTACTAAATATAGGTAGACTACAATAGGATGTTTGATTCATTCTACTAAATAAATGTTGAAATAAATTATAATTGAGGTCTGAAATTACATTGCAAAACTTGCCCTTGTATCCCACCCTTGACACTATGAGGAGCAATATTGTCATTTAAGGACCTACTATGGTCGATAAACAGTCTCAAATCTCATATCAACAAGACCACCTCTCTGTGGCATCAGATAACACTGAGAATACGGTGTATATCACTAGGGACCCTTATTTAAGTACCAAACACCTGATTAGTCAATCAATAGTAGACATGATTCTAATTTGAGTACTAAACAAGCCATAAATTATCTCTACTGATTAAAATAATACGAAATTTGATCTCCCAAAAAGATGCGATACAACAATACTTGTTCAAACAGGCAACTTCTCACAACAATTACCATTTACTAAAGCCTTATAAGTAATATCTGCCAAGCCCCTTTTTCCCAGTGAAATAAGGAACACAATCAAGTTCATCATCGAAATACAAGTAACAAATTCATCCCAAATATCCTCAACGTCATGTGCTGCAGCCCACAAGTAACAGGCCTTTCTGAAAGTGTACTCTTCTTTAGTTCTTTTTTTCTTGGTTAGTTTCTGAAATTTAGGAAATGAAATATGCCTCTAGTGCACATCCTATCAATTAGATGCCTTGTGTCACCACTACAAAAATGCATTTTCACACTCAGGTCCGCGTACACACTACTCTCCCCATGTTGTTGTGCAATCAGAGCTCCACCAGTGATCCAAAAGTTAACTCATGCAATGCAGCAAATTTCTTTACAGATCTCATACGAAAATATGGTCCTTATTGTACTGCGAAGAAATAGTATCTATGTGCTTAGCAGGTAGAGAAGACATGAAAAGAAAAGATATTTCATTAGGAAGAAAAAAAACACAAGCAGTCCCAACTCTGGTTGTAATGTTTTTAATCAATAATCATCCCCATCACAGACCCACTTCACTAAATCAAAGCTCTATGTGCAATAAGTAAAGTTTCTTTCACTTCACAGCTCATTCTGCCAATTTTTAATAGATAAAAGTTAGAGTCATACAAAAGAAGAGCCAATACGAATATAGTTGTAACACTACATAGTCCCACATCGGTAAAACACAAGAGGGGTGCTGGGTATATAAGTTAACAAGCCTTAGACCATGGTGACACATTTTAAACCCGTGAGGGCCTAGGCCCAGAGCGGACACTATCACTAGCGGGTTGGGTTGTTACAGATGGTATCAGAGCCACTCTTGTATCAGCCTTGCCGATGGTGAGTCAGAGTTCAACTAAGTTTAGGCAAATCCCGGTTAGGCGGGGCAAACCTCGGCAAAACACAAGAGAGATGTTGGTTATATAAATTAACAAGTCTTAGACCCTAGCGACGCATTTTAAACCCGTGAGGGCCTAGGCCCAGAGCGGACAATATCACTAGCGAGTTGGGTTGTTACAATAGTGAAAGCGCAGAGTTTTGCATGACTGCTCAAGCAGTAATAGTAATGATCAAGGTGGTATACTGAGGTTATAAATGCATTCCAATAAAAATAATACAATTGTATCAGCATTCAATCAACAAGATGCTCCTCATTATTGCAAAATATAGCATCTGAAAAATTAAGAGAACATTCTCTAGATTGCATGCAGGGAAAAAGCAGCTTCCAAATCTACAATCACCAGTGGAACACATAAAGTGTGACGGAAAAAGAAAAGGAAAGATGCATCTAAACTAGCATCGGTAACCAAACTGGCAGCACAATGATGCAAAATGATTCCATTATGAACCTGGAAATCAATCTTTTCTATTCTGCTCTAGATTGACCAGCACGGGAAGAAAGGATGATGCCGACAATCAGTCCGTACAAAGCCAATGCCTCAGCAAAGATGAGAATCAGGATCATACCGACAAATAGTTTTGGTTGTTGTGCATTTGCTCTGGGAAAATAAGATAATGTTAGGATGCAGAACTGAGTGATAAAAAAAAAAAGAGCAGCCCGGTGTACTAAGCTTCCACTGTACAGAACCAAGAGATATTGAATACAAATTTGTATACAAGGAAACTTAAGAAGATAATGCAAAACTTTAGATAAACCAACGAGAGGGACTAGATCTAACAATCAAATAAAAGGTCCCCTCCTGCTAAGAACATATATAAAGCAGCAAGAAGGAAACTACAAAGGATTTTATTTCAGAATGATACTAAACAGTATAGAGGTGGATATTTCTCAACTTCCTAAACACTTTTTTAGATTAACCTTCATAAACATGACAATAAAGTTTGCTATGCCACAACTGATTTGGTTGTACACTTCTTTCATGATAACAGTCCTATTTATACTTTGGTTTCACATCAAGGATGAAAACTGCAGCTTTCTGTCTCCTTATTAAAATAACTATACTAGTTTTAGAAAATAATGGGAACAAAAACCTCTGCATATCATTAATGGAAAGACATCAGTATATGTGGAAAAAACAGAGTGAACTAGAAGTATCTGCCTAAGGAAAGGGCAATAGAATATTAGGTTTTGTTATTCTGCTAAAAATGTGTATAAAGCAATAAAAGCATCCTCCACTTAGTATCAGTTAATGACTTGCTTTTTGGCATGCCAAAGTGTGACAGATTACAGTCAATTTTATCTCAAATAGTTGGTTCTTTTTATGCTAATGTTAGGATTTCTCACCTCAAAATTTGACATATCCAAGTAACATGGTTTATCCTTCTAATCTCTGATCTCTACCACAGACATTAGCATTAGGTAGCAGTTTGATAGATCCAGTTTATTCAGTAAACAATTACCACTTGAAAAAAAGAGAAAAAAATTCAGAGAGCACAAAACTCTTTGCTTGAAATGGAAGTTCCAACAAAATTCTTTGGTGCAATAATTTTTAAAGGACAGCGATTATTATTGAATTTTTTTAGAAGGTACTATTATTTTTTTTTGATTTGCACCGGGTGTCCGAGTCTCTTAGAGCCCCGACTAATCCCGGAGGTGCACAGGCCCTCGGCAAGGAGTTTCCCGCAAGTGCACCATGGTTAATTCAGGTTTTACCCAGTCCGATGGCCCTCAGAAATTGTTTGCACCCAGTGGGTTTCGAACTTGAGACCTTGAAAGGGAGCAAACCCCAAGGCTCAAGTCAATTGCCACCAGGCCAACCCCTGAGGGTTTGTAGAAGGTACTATTATTACTAATTTACTATTGATTACACTCAACATTTTCACAAGCGACAAGCCCAAAAATCAACATGACTTTAAGAGCTTTTAGTGAAGTGAGAAGGAAAGGGGATCGTTTACTCCTTTGAAGTAAAGCACATAATTTATAAAAATTACAAATATTACCTAAAACATGTTCTGCTGGCGCTTTACATGGAACCTAAATTAGCAATCTTGAGTGATGATCAACAGCCCTAATGCTTGGTGTCGATGAGGTCCTTATTTGAGAGAAAATAGTGTACTGCCTTTGACATATGGATAGTAAGAAAAGAGATTGATGTTTCCCCAGTGGCACTATCTAGTTTTAGTCGACACAAATTGCCTTAGTTTTTTGGATGATAAAGCATTTATACAATCTTTGCAATAAGTTTTTTTGTTTCTTTTTTAAGAAAACAAAAGAGATACAGCTCTTTCGGAACAAATACTCTCTTTCACCAAACAATGAGGATAAAACAGATAACATTCAAAGTTCAAAGCTTTAGAAGAAACCAAGCACTTAAGAAGCAATAACATTAACAACAAATAGAATCTAATGCAACAGGTTAAACACCTCATCCCACTAACAAGGTCAATTCACTAGAGAATCAAATAAGATGCCATTCATGTAAGTTTTGCAATTCTTACAAGACATTGGATGGGACAAATCCAGTTATTAAGAAAATACCTAAAGCGATTCATTTCAGTTAGGACGCAAAAACTACTTTACTATAATTTTCACAAAATACATTAGGAAAACATTGATTTTCAAGCCATTCAGGTGCAAAAGAAGTAATTTTTTCTAATTAAGTTGTCTACAAAAGAACGAGGAGACTGAGAAATTACCTAACACCAGCATCGCCAACAATTCCAATAGCCATTCCAGCGGAAAGGCCAGCGAGACCACAAGCCAAACCAGAAGAAAGATGCGCATATCCATCAAAAAGGTAATACGATTTGGTCTTAGGGTTAATTCCGGTACTGATAATGACCGCAATAATCAAACCATAAATACCTAACACTCCAGCCATAACAACCGGCACAATTGACTTCATCACAAGCTCTGGCCTCATTACTCCCATCGACGCTACTCCCACACCGCTTTTCGCCGTTCCATAAGCAGCTCCCATACCTACAAGGATATTGATCGTATTATATTAGTTCCGATTCATTGAATCGAATAATTGATGCAAATTTTTTTTATGGAGCTTACAGGAGAAAACGAGCGCTGCAGCTGCTCCAAGGAAACCGAAGAAGGGCGCAGTTTCATCGCCGCTGAAAGTTGATGACATTTTTTCAGTTTATCAGAGATTTCACCGGTGACCGATCGGTATTTTGAAGACAACTTTTCTGATCGGCGAGAGATATTTACTTGTATGTCCTTGTATTTGTCCTTGGCTCCGGTTTCGTTTCTTGTCTGGCTCAGTTGCACTGTCGCTCTCAAGCACACGTTGGACACGTTGTGCGAGAAACTTCTTTGCAGCTGCCACAGTATGGGCTCTATGTTCATGGGCCTGATCTATCGGATTTCTATTCTTCATTGGGCTCCAAAGATATCCTAAGAGCCCGTTTGGACATAAAAAAAAAAGGGAAATTTTCGTTCCTATACCATATAGGAAATTATGTTACGAAAAATGTCCATAATTTGCAAATTACCTGCCCTGCTAACAGATTTCCTACAAAATATAAACAACTCATTAAAAACAGAATCCTGTTAGCTGTACAATTCTATTAATAGGCGCGCGAATGTTGGGATATTAAAGATTCTTCCAAATTTTATCAAACGCAAATCTCGCTATTAAATTTCGCCCGTTTCTCTCCAAAATTCACTACTCTGTTTTTACGACAATACTCTGTTTCACTGGATTTTCTGATTTCACAAATCAAAAGCGACTAAATTAGCTACAATTCTTCTGTAACAAGCGCAATTATGTCGAAAATCCCAATTATGCTTCAACTGAATGGGAATTGGGATAGCTATGGGAGATATAGAGATTTTTCAGTCGATGGAATTGTAGTCGGCGAGGATGCGAGTTATAGCCTATTGAATTCTACAATAGCGGAGCATCTAATGATAGATACATCCGGAAAAATAATAGAAATCAAATACATTGTCAACGAAAATTGTCCTCCAATGGAAATTAGGAACGATATGGGTGTTCGTGTATACATGGAGACGAAAAAGGAAAACAAAAGCCTAGGAACATATCCGCTATGTATAACAGTGCGTGATTTCAATTTGGAATTGAGTATCACCAATTCTAACACAGTTGCAGGTTTGTTCTGTTACATTACTATCGAGTTTTGGTTGTATATTACTTATCTACAAATTATCTACAATATCTCTACAAAAAACTACATGTCAAAGTCTCTCTCTCTCTCTCTCTCTCTCTCTCTCTCTATATATATATATATATATATATATATATATATATATATATATATATATATATATATATATATATATATATATTAGTGTTGAATTTCATTCTATCTACAATATTTTTACAATAAAATCACATATCATTTGTAGCTCAATATGAAATACAGAATTTCAATATTTCTACAAATTAACTACAAAATATCTACAAAAAAATAGTTCATAACAGTATTTAGCTTTATTTTATTGCAGGTTCATCTGGAACACTGAAGTTAATTGATATTCCAGCATCTCCGGCGATAGTGAAATATGAAAGTATAATAATAACAGAAAGTACACCAAGTGTTACTGAAGTAGGCCAAGTATACCAAGACAAGCAGACAATTGCAAGTGCAATGAAGTACTATTCTGTCATGAAGAAGTTCCAATTTAGGGTGAAAAGATCTAGTGCTAGAAGGTAGGAACATATGAATGGTCAAAAATTTTTTATTTTTATTTTATACTCCCTCCGATTTATGTGAACCCATTTGACTGGGCACGGAGTTTAAGAAAAGAGAGAAGACTTTTGAACTTGTGGTATAAAATGAAGCACATATATTTTGTGTGGCTATAAATCATTGCATAAAGGTAAATTGTTTCCAAATAGGGAAAGAGGTCATTCTTTTTGGCACGGACTAAAAAGGAAATAGGTTCACATAAATTGAAACGGAGGGAGTAGTTCATTTGTAAATTTTTACTTCTTCAGGTTTTTTTGTGATATTATTTAACAAAATTGTAGATAGTTTGTAGTTGTTTTGTATATAAATTGTTGAATATGATCTTTTATGCTACAACAGTTTTTTTTAATCTACATTTTCTATACCAGTATTTAAATTATTTTTATTTTGTAGCTACTGGCTGGTATGTGTTGGTGAAAATTGTACATGGCACTTCAAGGCAACTAGCACAAATGATTCTGCAATGTTCAAGGTTAGAAAATTAAACAGCTTGCACACATGCTCTTTGATGGACAGTACATTCATACAGCGCAAACCTACTGCCATGTTAGTTGGTAGCATGGTTATTCCAAAATATGCTGATCCTAAGACAATTTACACACCAAAAGACATACAAACTGATATGTTGTCTGAACACGGCGTGAACTTAACATACATGCAAGCTTGGAGAGCAAAGGAAAAGGTTTTGGAGTTTTTGAGATATCATCGTGCTGACTCCTACATTAAATTGCCTAGTTATTTGTATATCCTGGAGAAGACTTATCCGGGGTCTGTAGTTAAATTGAAGAAGATGGACGATGACTGCTTCTTGTATGCATTTGTTGTGATTTTTACATCAATCAGTGGTTGGGAATATTGTAGGCCAGTTGTAGTAGTTGATGGGACCTTCTTAAAGTCAGTATACAGGGGAATAATGCTAACAGCTAGTACAATGGATGCAGCAGGTATTGTAGATTTATTGTAGATATATTGTAGCTTGTCTGTTTTTTGTATAACTTGTAAATTTATTGTAGATATATTGTTGAAAAGTTGTAGTTTGTATGTATATGTCTTCCTCTGCATTTTTCATGCAGCCAATTAATTTCTTTTTACCACATAATGTAGGTACCATATTACCATTGGCATATGCTGTTGTTGATTCAGAAAATGACGCATCATGGAAGTGATTTTTTGAGCAATTCAAACATGCGTATGGTGAAAAACCAAATATGTGTGTTGTTTCGGATCGGAATGAGAGTATCTTGAAGGCAACATCTATTGTTTATCCCGGCATGCCACATTATTCTTGCATGTGGCATATTTGGACAAATATAAGGGCAAAGTTCAAGAAGGTTCATCTAAAGTTAAGCGAATTGTACTTTGCCACGACACGATCATACACGCTTGATGAATTCAATGAAAGGATGTCAAAGATTGAAGAGATTGACCGCGTGTTAAAGCATACTTATACGATATTGGTTATCATAGATGGTCTCGAGTACATGCTACGGTGAACAGAACTTGGACTATGACATCACAGAGTCGTTGAATTCTGTAACAAAAGATGCAAGAGAGCTGCCGATAGTACCTTGGGTTTAAATACAACAAAGAGTTGGATGACAACAGAACATTGTCGCACAAGCTTAGAGTAAGATCTGACCATTTATTGCATCAAAATAAATTATTAAAAGACAATGTAGATAGTTTGTAGATATTTTGCAGATATTTTGTATTCTGATTGTATATGAATTTTTTTTGTTTGTAATGTAATTGTAGGTGAGGGATTCAACAGATTACATTGATACAATACTAGATGGTGTCAGGCGCTATATTGTTTGTCTTGAAAACAAGAGATGTAGTTGTGGGCAATTCCAGCTTGATGAACTTCCTTGTCCACATGCTTTGGCTGCTTTAAGGCACAGGGATGAGTCTTATGAATAATATTGTTCTCCTTATTACACAAGGGAGAGCCTATTGCGTACTTATGAAATACCAGTAAATCCCCTACCTGATGAAAGCAAATGGAATGTGCCACAACATATAACTGAAGAAGTTGTAAATCCACCTTCAGGTGGGAAAAGACAGCTAGAAAGACCTCAAAAACAAAGATACAAAACATATGATGAATTAAATTCAAAGAAGTACAAGGTTCCATGTGGCAACTACGGAGTAGAAGGGCATAACAAAAGATCTTGCAAGAATGCTCCCAAAAAAAAATTATGTAGTAAAATGAATTTTTCATAAAAATTGATGAGTTCAGGAGAATTATATTTGATGTGTAATAGTTGAGGCACCTTCAACTTTTAATGTAGTTAGTTTAAAATTATTTTGTTTAATTAGTATTCTGTATTGTGTTAATACTTTCATAGCTTGATTGGTTTGTGAATGATTTCTATATATATAATACACAATTATTTTATTATCTCTAGCATCCAACGATAGTTGTTAATGATCCTACAATTTATCTACAAAAAATTACAAAATAACTACATAATCTGGAGTTGACAGAGTAACTACATAATAATTAAGTTGAAAAGGAGTTAACCAGTAACAATAATTAGATCAAGTACTGTTTACTTTCAACAAGTGAATATAAAAACAACAGAATGTTTCCCCATTGTTCGAACTAGTATACTGGATAAAATAAAGAAAACAAAGGGTAAAATAATTGTAGCACAAATCTGCTACAATTAAACTTCAACAATCTTGTTCATAAACTTGTCTACTATCTTCCTACAAAACTAGCTGCAACTAAACAATTTAACTACATGTTCCATGTCACACCTCCTTTTTACACACCCCTGGAAGGGGTATTAGGGAGTATTTTCCAATTTAAAGTGACAATCGAAACGGGATTTATTTATTTATTCAGAGTCGCCACTTGGGATAATTAATGGTGTCCCAAGTCACCGGTTTTAAATCCCGAATCGAGGAAAGATTGACTCTGTTTTATAGTCCGCGAACACAGAAATCCGGGTAAGGAATTCTGTTAACCCGGGGAGAAGGTGTTAGGCATTCACAGGTTCCCTAGTTCTAGCACGGTTGCTCAACTATTATTATTGGCCTAATTATCTGATTTTAAAACACTTTTAAACCTACGTGCATTTTTAACTTTTATACCGCTTTTGTTTATTTAAGAAATTATTTCAAGGTTATTTAAAACATATCGCGAGCTGCACTACATGAAATGCACCCGTGGTTCACGACACGCTTTATTTAACCTCGTAAAGAGTTGAGATTGGGTCACATGAAATGCACACCCGAGTTTAATAAATAAAGGAAGTCAATTTAAATGGCGCGCCTAAAGCAACTACGAAATCTCAAATTAATAACAAGTTTTGCGAGGGCCATGGAAAGTTTGATAATGGCACACCTCGATTCTACAAGAGTTAAGATTAATTATCTGAGGGCCATGGGTTATCTAATTTTTGCTTATGGCACACCTCGAATCTAATTTTAAGGGATGTTTGAACTAATCTTCTGAGGGCCATAAATTATAACTTGCTTAATATGGCACGCCTCAAGTCTAATTTTAAAAGGGGCTAATTAATTAAAGAAGGCTTAAATGGATTTGGATTTATTTTTAGGCTAATGCTCAAACTCAACTTAATAATTAATAGGCTAGCGTTAAAAGAAACTAAGCATTTGGCTGAAAGGGCTTGGGCTGGCAGCTGGCCCAGCCTTCACGTGCTAGCTCTCGTGATTAAACACAAGAGAGAATTGGGCTCCGATGAAGCCTGGTCTGAGAAAGATTAACACACAAGAAAAAGGTACTTTGGCATAAATGGGCCAACGACAGCTGCCCAATTTGCACAACCTGAATGAGGTTGTTTGAAGACACTCTGAGGAAAAACGATGGTGGGCCATATGGCCAGGCCTTGACAAGGCCCATGTTAAACATGCACAACAAAATATTGAACTAATTTGAGACTCATATTACATAAACGACCATATTGCAATCTTCCAAAACAAGTGTATCAAATAAAATAATCACAGGGTTCTAAATGGTAAATATGCTTGCCAATCTTGACCAACCGTTCTAGTAAAGCATGCCATTAATCACAGAAAAAAGAATCGAATCCTGAGGTTTATTCAGCACTTAACATTATATCTACACTTGATACCATGCCTAATAACATAAAATGCGTACATCCTAATAGTCCTTTGAAAGGAATAGTCCCAAACAAATGCAAATACTAAGTAACAAGTTGCTTTAACATTTATGAGTAAACTAAAACAACTTACATATTCAAATCATCCATCTATGCTAAGCTAATATTGACAGACTTTGAGTGAGAAATAAACCAATCAACCTTCTTCAAAGAAATACTCAAACACTGAACATGAAACTAATTAAGCTCAACTCAACTAAAGAAATACAAAAGAAAGAGCTAATTACCATGGTTTTGTCTCAGACTTTCATACAATTTTAACATTTAAATACGAATCACTAGAGCAACTATTATTACAAACCTAATATATTTAAGAAAGAAGTAGGAAGAGAAATGGACAAGAAGCTAAATGAACCGAGCAAAATAGGAAAACCAAGCTTTAGGCAGATGACAACTTTCATTGAACTTCAACAAAAACAAATTTTTCATACAAAAGTCACATTCACAGCTTCATTTGCCACCCAGAGTTCAAAGAAATACCTGGAACAATAGGAAACAAACAGCAAAAACTTTCAGCAGAGGGATTAGAGTATCAGCAGCTTTTCAACAGAAGCTAATCAACAATTCTTAATCAGCTACCACCATTTTAAGCCCAGAAAACAATCAACAATTACTCTAACTTTGAAACCCCAAAAACTACGGAAAACAGCTTCAATGTAATAGTGTTTTGATGACTTGTTTTTGTATTTTTTTCTGATTTTTCAAACTTTCTCAGTGTTTGTATTATCTCAGCCGTTTCTAAATTGTATACTCTCTGAAATCTGACTTGAAAATGAAGAAACCTCCCTTTTATAGAGAAACTCTAGGGTAAGGCTGTAAGTGGGCCGGTCTTGGACCGGGACCGGACCGGGCCCGCGGTCCTAACGGGCTAAACGGTCCCGGCGGGCCGGTCCTGGTGGGCCGGTCCCTTAATGGGTAATAAGCCCGTGACGGGCCGGTCTTGTTCGTGTAGCCCACGAGACCGGGACCGCTAAGCCCGGGACCGGCAGGCGGTCCTGGGCCGGTTCAACCGGGCCTAGCGGTCCTAACGGGCTCCAACGGCTAATTTTTAAAAAAAAAAAATTTTTTTTTTTTTAAAAAATAGCCAACGGTCAGATTTTAAAATCTAGCCGTTGGCCTTTAATTTTCAACCGTTTGGAACTTTAAAAATAGCCATTTGGCCCCCAAACTTTATTTTAACCCCAAACTTTATATAATTACACTTTTCCCCAATTCTCAACTATAAATACCCCCTCATTCTTTCATTTTTACTCACCAATTCATCAATCTATCTCAATCTCTCTCAATCTATATCTAATTTCTCTTCTATAATTGCTTATTTTATTATTGCAATTTCGTGAAAAATTGTGAAGTTGGTGAATTGAAGTATTCAAGTCTTCAAGTCTTCAACGATTTTCAATTTTCAAGAAGTTGTTCGGCAATTCGGTAAACTCGTTCCAACTCTTAACTTTTAAGAATATATTTTTGTGTGTTTAGTTTGCATAATTGTAATTAATATGGCATTTTCTTTGAAAAAAATGTTTGGTGGTAAGGGAAAAGCTAAAATTGGTGAAAGTAGTCTCCAACCTACTACCCTTCCCCCGGCTCCCCGACCCAGACCTATTACCCGTCCTGCTGCTCCTATTATTCTTGATAGTGATAACCCTTGTTTTCAATTTTCCGATAGTGAATTTTGCCATAATGTTGCACAAGGTGAACATTAAATGAAGAAGTTATGAATGCTCTTTATCCTAAATCAAACTATCTTAGAAAATGATGAGGAAAATGAGGATGTAGATGAAACCCAACCGGATTTAGATGATTCACCTACTAGTCCTGTTAATAACCCAA